CCAAATACTATATTAGAGTCTTTACAAGATAATTTAGGTATGATTAAATCATTAATTTCTTCATTTGAATTGACAAAAAAAAAAATGTTTTAATTACCATTCTATTCATATTTGTTTAAGATGGTGATATTCAGATTATTAATAATGAAAATACAAATGATGGTAGTAGTAATGAAAAATTCAATACAAATGGAATGAATAGTAATATTACTAATAAGAAAAAACAATGTAAACGTAGACATCGGTAGATATTTTCAAGAAGAAAAACTTTTAAATGAATATATTTTAATTGACTTTTTTTTTTAAATTTTCTTTTGATAGAACTACATTTACCAGTCATCAAGTTGATGAATTAGAAAAAGCATTTAAAGATGTTCATTATCCGGATATATTTGCACGAGAATTACTTGCTGTTAAAACTGATCTTCCTGAAGATCGAATACAGGTTTGTAAATGATGAATATTTGAATTGTTTCATTAATTTTCTTGTTACTCAACCATCATTATATCGCACAATGTGTGTATAGTTCTATTCTAGCATTCACACCAATCTTGTACATGTTTCTCAATATTTATTATTCTACATCGACAGTATAAATAATCGCTCAGCGTGATGTCTTTAACCTTGTTTTAATGAGCATTTTTTTTTACATCAGTTGGTAGAAAAACTGCAATAACATATGTGTTCGATTGGATCATTTTATATATATATCAATACGAACGTATTAGATTTAGTCTGTTAACTAATTGACATCATTTTTTTGTGAAATACGATCTCAAAGGAGTATTGAAGCATAGAGATAGAAATTTAGAACTATTCCCACAGACACTCAGGCAACCTATCACAGACTTGGGCGACAGTATTTTTTTATCATCAAAAAAAGATACATTTGATTTCCAACTTTTTTCAGTATTCATTTCATATTATTATTTGCCAATAAAGTGTAAGTGTTGCTCAAGACTGACGATGGTCTCATCCTGATACTCTTTGATGTCCTCACTCTCACTCTGTGGTGTTCTTCGCTGTCAATCAGATGAATTAGTCAAGGGTAGGTACTTCTTCAGATCAGTGATACCGCAGCATTCAGTCTTTGTTATACTCTGCCAGTTAAATGATCAATTAATGTATAGGCTGTGGTCGATCTGGACAAGAACTATATTTTTAAATGAATAGTTATTTTTTCTACAAATACATGCATTT